TCATGAAGGAATGGAGAGAAGCGAATGAAGGGAGGGAGACCAAGATGGACGTGTTCCTGCCTGAGGCCGCTCAGTGCTCGTGCGGTGGGGGCGCATTTTACCCGTTTCGGACAGACCCAGGGATTCTGGACGCGTCAGTTCACCCAGTTGGAATCCGGATCGAATTCGGTGGGTGAGATGGCGAGGTTCCATGAAAGTCGTTGATTCGACCAGTATTCTTTGCGACTATCCCAGTCGGATCAAGCACCGGGCTACACCTTCAGGGGCCGTCATATTCATATTCGCCCGCCAAGATGTGTACGGAGTAACGCTCTACTCCGTATGTATACTGCCTAGATGCCTAGATAGTCAGGTGCTATTAATAGCGCTCCACGGGGCCTTTATCCCATGGAAAGGCCGAAGGGCAGGATCACCAGCGCAATCAAACTCTGCAAAGCTTTATGTCTTCGCCGCCATTTGTAGAGACATGTTCTATACTGCAAGCTAGGCCAATGAAGCATCAATGCAGATACTACTCCGGAGACGGGAGTGCTCCTGCATATACTAGTACAGATGGCGTTTCACATCCGCGGCCCCAAACAACTGTGTGGCCTGTTTTCGGTTGATCCAGACTACCCGACCACATGAAACAACGTCGTCGAAAGTCCACCCGTTCTTCCCCTTTTATCTACCGTAATTTGCCCCAGAAATAATATCAAAACTTCTGCTCAAACCCTCCATTTTAACACACGGACCGGTTCCTTCTCCTAGAATAACAGATAGATTGATTCCTGTCGGCGGTAGGGACCACGAGGAACAATGTCGAAATACATCTGACGATTACTTGGACTACTCCATACCATATGATCGATCGATCGATCTCTTCGCATATCAGTTGGCGACATAATACCAATCTAGGAACGATCCTACAAATGATACCATGGATATTTGCACCAGGAAAACAATCACCCGTCTTATTCATATTACTCGCTGGGACATCTGCTCTCTAATCGTGAATCCTGCGTACCCAATAACCAGCACTCCGATGCTAGTTACTGTCCGAATACAGGATCTTGGTATCAAGTCCTCCCATGATCACGCCCAAACGCCGAACACTTTCACAAGAGGTATCTCACAGGCGGTTTGCCACAAAGCAATAAAGAACAACAGGGGAGAACAGAAAAGCGAAACGCGACTATGACCCGGAAGATATCATGTACAAACCTAGACCTACAGGGCGTCCCAGCGGCTGGAAGACGCCAAATGAAAGATATACTTGGAAAGCATATCCTATGCCGGGGCATGGTAAAAGTTGGGAGAGGCGGAGTCAACACTTACCTAGAATTTGCGGTGCTACCACCAACCTTGAAGTCAAGGCAAGTAGTGCATGTCAAAGGGCTTCTTCAATTGACAGCGTTATGAGTTAGCGGGTATATCACCAATCGAAGAAAAGGCGATAACAGCGGATTCTAAGCATAATGGGAGGCGTATGCGAGGGATCATGAGGACCGTGATCGCTTAACATCGGGGCTGGGGCTTTCGACCAGCTCAAATTCGTCTTCCTCATCGCGTTGGCGTTTGACAGAAGCTGAACCAGACGGTTTATCGCTGCTTTCTTCGTTCGTAGCGTCGAATTCATCTGGGACGCCTAGGTCTAGCAGCTCTCCCTCGTCGAATTCCAGCTCTTCATGTGGATCTTCTGCAGCGGACTCCGTTGTAAGTGGCCCGTTTGCATTGTGGGAAGTCTCGTGGCCAACTTCAGAGGGCCTTCTAGACGGACTCTCTCGGGTATCATGACCATCGTTAGGCGGGTGTTCGGCCGAGTCGCGGGTAGACGTGGGTTTGAGCTCTGCAAATTCTGGGGGAGTCTGGTCCAATGCCGTCTCGGAATCTTTGGCCACAAAGTCTTCGGTATCATCACGCGAGGTCTCCTCGGCATCATCTTCATTGTGTTCAGCAGTTATATCCACTGCATCATGTTCATGAGGATGGTCATCTTCCCCTGAGACCTCTTTCATACGAGTCTTCCACGTTGAGTTCCGCCTCGTATACTCTCACGGGGATCCATCGTTCCTCAGCTAGTTCGTTCATTGTCGTCACGCTTCATCGGTCTTGGCGCTGAATATTCATCCCAGGTAG